TTATATAGTAAAACAATGTATTTTCAAGATGTTTAGTACCTAAGCTTAGGTGGGGTTGTAATGTATATTCCCTTTTCCCATATATATATATATATATATATATATATATATATATATATATATATATATATATATATATATATATATATATATATAGTTGGATTGAGTGAAGACTCAAAAATAAGTGAGGACTACGAGAACAAATATTTGTCGCGTGATTGATAAAATAAAAGATGAAGATTTGATTTTATTTATCGTTAATATAATTCGAGACGATATGACATATTTTTAATTATCTGTGAGATTTTGACATTTTCGGCAAATTTTAATTGTTTGAAGGTTAAATGGGTAAAAGGAAAGAGGAAAAAGAACAAAAAACTCCCCCCCCCCCCCCCCCCCACACACACACATCAATTTATACCCTTTCTCTTTTTTTCTCTCTGCCACATATCAAACCCTTATTTAGTGGCACTAGTACAAAAATAGCACTGTTAGGTAATAGAGTAAGTTTATAGGAGCATAATCTATTTGGGGGGGGGGGGAGGGGGGGGGGTTCTTATTTACAGACTAAATAGAGTACAGTTTTATTACTATGCTCTATAAGTGTTATTACTTATAGAGTATTATTTCTTAGAAACAACGGTACTCCATACTTAATAAATAAAAAAAAATAGAATTTAATGGCTGATAGAATGGTATTGAGCAATATTGTTATGACCATCAAATTATTTATTGGAGATACCATTTTTTACTCCAACTCATGGAATCTAATTTATTTTACACTTTGAGACCAAATGGGTACGTAGGAGATAGCAATTAAGCAATGCATGACTTGATATAAAACATAAAATGCCAAAATACCTTATGGTGAGAAATGTAGAGACTCTATCATCAAGCCATTATAATTATTAAGTTTTTGGTCCAGGCACATATCTATAGCATAATAAGCATTCACACCTGTAATTTCTAAAACAATGTTAGTATCATGGGATGTCAAAATATTTTTTATGCATTATGGATTCCAATTGAAGATAATAAAATGAAAGATGTTACATATTGAAGAATCCAGAGCTCAACACATTGTAATCGATTACAATGTTACAGCTACGTATTTTGGTAGTGTGTAGCAATTATGAAAAACAAATCTACAAGAAAAAAATAGAATTGGAAAATGAGGACATCAAGTTAAGTTAATTCAGACCTTTCCAAGACCAATTCAGATTAGACCTACAGGTCAAACACAAGTGCCCTATACTTTCTTTAAACTGGATAAATAAAAGGAAACTGGTAAGCAAATAATGTTCAAGAAGCAAACCTTGCCTTAAGTATTAAAATATAGTATAAGCAAATCTCAATGGAACAAGTGTCTACATAAACATCCCATGGCCCAAACTTGTTCATGAAACAAACATGTTCTCTATGTCACTCTACATCTGAACACCTATTCACAATATAGTGAAATATAGAAAAGGATTACATAATTTGAAAATTTATTTTTTTCGCATTTATATGATTACACATAACCACCTGTTGATACTCAAAAGTCTATTACATTATGTTTCACTTTGGTACTCTGAATAGTGAAAAAAAAATTGTAAAGCATATATAGAATTGTGAATCATCTACAGAAAAATTTATTAAAAAGTGGGAACATAACAAAACTTACTAGTCACCATAGGTGATTTAGAGAAGTCATGTGTAAGATAACTTCCAGCTAATTCATATAGGCTTTCTTTATTCAAATATCATCTTATAATATAAAGATGCAACAAACATTAAAAGACTGAAAATGTATGTAGAGAAACATAATATAGATGTGAATAACTCACGTTAAGGGTACCAAAAATCTAAAAGAATTTATATAATACCAACATTGGCTCAACCAATCCTTAGAATATTCATGAAATATATTTATTTTAACTTCAACATTGTATTAACAAAATTGCAACCACAAATACACATGTTGCCACTAAATTCATAGGAAAAACGAGGAAACAAAAAAACCCTAATATAATGCTCTGGGTGCCTCCACCTGCTGGAATGTTTGAAAGAGTATAAAGTGTTATGGGAATTTCACTTTCCAAAAACTAAAAACTTTTTCAATATTTATCGAACCAATGTTGTGACATCCTTATCTATCATCATGTCAAAGACCATCATTATGCAAAAAAAAACCCTAACAAAATTAAAAATCGTACATACATAATAAAAAACTCCGGCAAAAAATGTATAGTAATTTTAAATTTCAAGTATCCTAAGCAACAAAAGAGGTACCAAAATCATAAAAATTTAGGAAGCTTTATTAATGATTAAGATAATTAATAAGTAATTGCTTCAACGAACAAATAGTGAGTGTAGAGAATGCGTGACATTCGTGGTGGCGACAACAGTCGCTAGTGGCTCTAGTGGAGCAACATCAATTGGTGGTTATGGTGGTGGCGACAACAGTTGCTAGTGGTGGTGATTATGTGGTAATTGTAAGATTATAGGAAAGAAATGAACAGTTGTAAAATTAGGGTAAGTACGACTTACTAGTGACTTCGTAAAAAGAATTTTTCAAAAATAAGTTTTTCAACTCTTTATTTTTAATTTTATGAAATATTTATATTTTTCAAAAAAAAAATGTTAAACATAATATGATCCAAAAATATGATGATTCAAAATATTTATGATTAAAAAAACTTTTGATTCAACGTTTATAATTCTTAAGGGAAAATGACACAAATACCCTACGAACTTTCTAGGGTTTACCCGTTAAGTCCTTAAAGTTTTTGTCGGACTTTATGGGTCCCTAAACTAGGGTATGATCTACTCTTTTAGTCCATATAAACCTGTAATAGTCAGTTTAGTGACATTTTAGACAAAAAAAAAAAAAAAATTCACTTTGTGCCCCTATAAAATCAAAAAAATAAGTGCGGGGATCAATACGAATTGAATGTGAATCAACTTTAGAAGAAAATAAGAGTTTTTTTATACGAATTGATCCCCAAACTTATTACTTTTTGCTTTATAGGGGCACAAAGTGAGTTTTTTTAGTCTAAAATATCACTGAATCAGCTATTACAGGTTGATAGGGACTAAAAGAGTAGGTCGTATCCTAATTTAAGTACCACAAAGTCCAACAAAAACTTTAGGGACCCAACAGGTAAAACCTAGAAAGGTCATAGGGCATTTGTATCATTTTCCCTAATTCTTAATTTGTTATCATTTAAAAGTATTTAAACTCAATTATTTTATAATCCATAATTATATGTTTCATGATTAAAAATTAAATGATTCAAAATATCTAAGGATCCATGATTCTTTTTAAACAAAAACTATATTTAATTGAATACATTATTGATCCAAAATCATAAAAATACTTTCATTCAAAATAACTTTTTTCAAAATTTTATGATCCAGAAATAAATATGATACTAAAAAAAATTTGAACAAAAAATACTATGATCATTACATTTCTTCTTATTTAAAAATTTATAATTGTTAAATATTAAAACTCAAACCGATATTTATTTTATATAATAAAAAAATCAAAAAAATAATAATAAAAAGTAAAAAGGTAAAAAACCCTAGTATCTTCAAGTATAAAGTAAATATATTAAATAAAACGAAAAAAAACGAACAATAGAAAAAAGTAAAATAACAAAGCAAAAAAATAAAAAACTAAACAAAAAAGAATATATATATATATATATATATATATATATATATATATATATATATATATATATATAAGTTCGAGGATCAATACAAATTGAATATGAATCAGCTTTACAAGAAAAAGAGAGTTTTTTTGTACGAATTGATCCCTGAACTTATTAATTTGGCTTTATAGGGATACAAAGTGAGTTTTTTTGGTCTAAAAGGTCGTTGAACCAGCTATTACAGATTGATAGAGACTAAAAGAGTAGGTTATATCATAATTTAGGTACTCATAAAGTCCGACAAAATTTTTAGGGACTCAACGGGTAAACTCTTGAAAGTTCGTAGGGTATTTGTATCATTTTCCCTAATTCTTAATTTGTTATCATTTAAAAATATTTAAACTCAATTATTTTATAATTCATAATTATATGTTTGATGATTCAAAATTAAATGATTCAAAGTAACTAAAGATTCATGATTCTTTTTAAACAAAAACTATATTTAATTGAATATATTAATGATCCAAAATCATAGAAATACTTTCATTCAAAATAATGTTTTCAAAATTTTATGATCCAGAAATAAGATGTTTCTAAAAAAAAATTTAACCATAAAATATTATGATCATTATGTTTCTTGTTATTTAAAATTTTATAACTGTTAAATATTAAAACTCAAATTGATATTTATTTAAAAAAATAAAAAATATCAATAATAATAATAATAATAAAAATAAATAAATAAAAAGGTAAAAAAAACTTTAGTATCTTCAAGTATGAAGTAAATATATTAAGTAAAGCGAAAAAAACGAACAAAAGAAAAAAAATAAATTAAAAAAACAAAAAAACAAAAAAAGAAACAAATAATCAAAATTTATATATATATATATATATATATATATATATATATATATATATATATATATATATATATATATATATATATATATATATATATATATATATATGTGGGTATGTGTAGATATCCTTAGCTCTTAAGCAATAGAAATAGAATAAAAAATAGAAATTAGCAGTATGAGTTTACATCTCTCTCTGTCTATGTCTGTTCGATCTGTTTCCATCTCTAGATATATATGATATGGTTAGCCCTAATAAAGCAAACCAAAGGAGAAAAAAGCGAGATAAATGAAACTATTACACTTGTGTGGGGTAGAAGCCACCGATGTAAACCGGCAGGAAGCGCCCAGTGCGTGCCCTGAATGTGGTGGGACAGTGGAGGCTGTGGACCGAGCTCACAAATGGTGGCTTTGCTTCATTCCTGTCTGCAATATCACTAAAAAATGGTACATTTGCAGCCATTGTTCCAAACGCTTGGTATACATGTACCCTTAGCTTATGCTTCTACGTGCAAGACTACATTGTAAGATTTCCTTTTATTGTTGTCGTGTTTATGTAATGAGACTGCTTTAGGCATCGAAGATGCATATATTTTAATATTGATGTGTTGTTAGAAGAACGGAAGGAAACAATGTTTGCAGATCTTCTTCATAACTTTGCCTCCAGTAGGTAGTTGTGACATTTGAGTATTTTTGGTCAAACAAATCTCTCGTTTATTGATGTTTGGTTCATTTAAGTTTTTCAGTGTATTTTTTTGCTTACTAATATGTTTACATAGTGTTTCTAAGGGAAATACGAACTCTTTAGGGTTTTACCCGTTGAATCCTTAAAGTTTTTTGTCGGATTTTATGGATCCCTAAACTAGGATATGACCTACTAGGATATGACCTACTAGGATATGACCTGCTCTTTTCATCTCTGTCAACCTGTAATAGCCGGTTCAGTTACCTTTTAGACCAAAAAACTCACATTGTGTCCCCTAACTTATGTTTTGGTTTTATAGGGGCACAATATGAATTTTTGATATAAAAAGTCGTTGAACCGGCTCTTACAGGTTGACATGGACTTAAAGAGGAGGTCATAACTTATTTTAAGCACCCATAAAGCCCAATAAAAACTTTAATGACACAACAGGTAAACCCTATAAAATTCGTAGGACATTAGTATCATTTTCCATTTTTTTCAACCTTATTAGTTACATGTTTTTATCATATAACACATTACAAGTGTGAAGGAAACCCATATCAAAAACATGTTAGGAGAAAGCAATGTCAACACAGGACTGCCCATGACTTCAAGTTGGTGTCCACAATATAAAATTTGACCATCTAGAAAGGGTTATTTCAGTTAAATGGCGTAAAGTCAAATGTATATAAATTATAAATTGAATAAGAGCACGGTAAATTAATGTTAAAAAGAAACAAAACTATATATATATATATATATATATATATATATATATATATATATATATATATATATATATATATATATATATATATATATATTGCCCTTTGTAAGAAAGACAGTGGTTACTTTTAATGGTGGATTTACTATATATTCCGGGATAGCCTCGGATACCACTCAAATAAAAAAAAATTCTAGTGTAATTTTTCCGGATTTTTTTATTGTGTAGGACACGATTTTTTTATGTCGGGATACCCGTTTAGTTGTCAGAAATAACCATTTAATTTGATCTTGGATCTGCCAAATTTGTTTTGAGGCCTGGTTGATTGGTGATCTACCAAAAGTCGAATAACTCCATATTGATAACCCTGTTCAATAATGTGATGTAATTTACACTCAAAAAAAGGTTGGGATGTGTTGCATTTATATTATTAAAGGAAAACACAAAGATTACTAACAAATAGTAGATAGCAACAAGATACCCACGATATTTATATTATGATTTTATACGGCTATTATCACCCCTTAAGGGAAATGGTGGTAGACCAATACCTAACATAGAGCCGCAGAGCTCAAATTGAGGACTTGAGAGACTCTTGGTAAATATGTCCACCGTTTGAAGCTATGTTGGAATGAATTTTGTATAGAATTTCCCAGAAGAAACTAATTCGTGAATCAAATAATAGTCCAATCAAATGATAGTCAAAATAGATATGTTTTGTTCGCTTGTGAGATACGGGATTTTGTGTAAGAAATAATGCTCTCATGTTGTCTCACAATACGAGATTTTTTGATGATTTTATGAATCATTTATTTAACCGAGGGACAAAGTTTCGGTAAACGAAAATGGTATATAAATAAGAAAAAACACATTCAAATATGGATTTCTAATACTATAAGTTGTTTTGAATGTCTTTTTCATATATAAGGTTTGTGAAGTGATATGAGGGTATAGTATTGCTTGAGAGAGTCAAAACAAGAAGATAAAAATAGCACTTTGTATTCAAAAAGGTTGTCTAGAGGATAAGTGGGAACAACAAATTACAATTGTATGAGGCAAAATCATTAGATTGTGATGTTCATCAAGATATAATTTTTTTTATCGTATATCATGCTTTGTAATTACAAAGATGGAAATAGTAAAACGGTTATAAACTCATTTAGAATAATATTAAAAACTTATATCAAACAACCCCTAAATGGGATAAAGGTCCAAATAGTTATACTAAAAAAGTTTACACGGTTATACCAAAAATACCCCTAAATTGTGTATATTTTAAGTACTTTTAAGCCAAACCTTGAGATGATTTATACTCATTTCTTTCAACTATATATTTACATATTCATTCCTTTTGATATTTATATAGATGAGACAACAAATTTTGCACATGGTATGCAATCTTTGCAACGTTTATGGGAATGCTCTTCAAATGAAAGTTGCACTGTGGTATGTATCATATTCATAAATTATTTCACTTCTTTAATTTAATGGGTCAAATATATAAAAGTATCTTTTAGAACTATAAGAAAATTATGAAATTTTTATATTATCATAACCCATTAGTATCTACTTCGATTGTTGAGCTCATAGACTTCAGCAAAATGTTACATTCTTTTATGTTTTTTAGTTACATTATTTTATTTTTAGAAAATTTATTATTACTTTTCAAGTAAATAGGTTGACCAGTGGAAATGATAATTCCTAGAGTAGTATCACCATCATTCCGTCTAAATTATCTTCTAAACAAGATGATTTTCTAAAAAATCACATGTTAAAGATCGTTTCAAACATTTTGAACTATATCAGGTACAAAATATAAAACTTTATATAGTTTTTTTACCCACACAACAATTTATACTAATTACATTCTCCTTTGTATAGGAAAGTATGAAAGCCACCGAAAGCTTTTAATCTTCAAATTGGAAAAGTAAATGGTTTACTTTTAAAAATAATTATATATTTTTATTATAAATTATTTAGGTAACTTATTCTACAAATTCATTTCATTTATATATTTTTGATGGTTGTAGTTTATGTACAAGTTTCAGAAGCATTAAAATACGTTGCTGTAATCATGGATTTTTATAAAGTACATTGCTATTACTTGTATTGAATAAAATGTCTAAAATACCTTTTATGTGATATACCAAAAGGGGAGCTTTGTTGTATAAGAAACTATAGCATATAATATGTTCAGATTCTTTTATTTCATACATTTTATGTGATACAAAATACCTTCATATATTACATTCTTTTATTTCTTTTGATTTATCATATTAACATAACCATAAGATTTTATGATCAATTGAATATTCAATAATCTTACAAGTTGTTGATTTCCTTTGGTTTTGGTTTCACATTTAAGATTGAGTTATAGGGGATAAATTTTGAAGTTGCTAAAGATCCACCAAAAATTTTGCATCACAATCTTCACTTGAGAGGCTATTCGAGTAAAAAATAATTCATGAAATTCGATGCATGTTATAAGATGCAATGGAAATGAGACATTATGTCTGCAAATTCTTTCTATAATTTATTGTAATTTGTAGTATTTTGTAATGGTTAGTTTAAAAGTTTTACTGTTTCAAATTATTTATCTTTATTGTATTTTTTATAGACGTTATTGTAAAAAAAATATATAAATGAGTTTCTTTCATACATATTATAAATAGTTATTTTTTGGTTGGAAAATATATATCTAAAAGAAATCTTGAACAAAAGTAAAGAATAGTAAAGAGCACAGTGTTGAAAACCATAATCGGCCGATATTTTCGACCCGTTCAACCAAGAAGCTGTCGGGTTAGAGCTTTTTTGAGCCGCTCAACTGACAAGCTATCGGGCTAGAGGCTTTTTGAAGGCCAACAACCACTTGTATACAAACCAGAGAAAATCGGTTGGTTTTTACGAAAACCGGTTTGACTGTGGCTGATTCAACCATTGAAATCCGATTTTAGAAAAAGATAATTTTATTTTTATTTTTAAATTTCTTAAAATTGAACTTAATATTATTTTAGTGGAAATTTGTGTACAAACTGGAGCCGGATTTCTTGGCCTCTTTTAACTTAATAAATTTTCTTTGAGATAATGTCACTGTAGCACATGGAACTTTTTACATTTGCCTAATTTGGTCCTTAAAGTCTTTTTTGGTACCTTAGACCAGTAAACTCGTAATTGACCTTTTAATTACACCATTTTAGAAGGTTTCCCGGTTACAATGCTTATGTGGCCGCTGATGTGTCCAATAAGCTTACGTGGGAAGCTTATGTGTCGAAGTAGTCCAGTTGTCGATATAGGCTTATTAATTCAAACCCTCATTCAGACCTCCTTTAAATCTTTACTAACCCTTCTCTGAAAAGTCAAAGACTTCTCCCTCCCCGACTATTTCCATCCTAAAGAAGAATGTCTTCAAGCTCATCGACGTCAAGGAATCAGCTACAAGTCACTCATGTTCATTCGCAAGAAGGGGTAAAGGTTTGTGATTGTGGCGTTCCAGCTAAAGAACGAACCCATTGGAAGATAACAAACCCTGGGAGGCGATTCTGGATATGTCAAAACAGTATGGTAGGTCCCGATTCTCTTGATTTTGATAAGTTAGTATTTTATTGTTTGATGTGTTGTTTCTTTTTGTAAAGACGATAATGGTGTATTTGTATTTTGTTTCATATGTTAAAAACCCTAATTGTATTTGCTTCTTGACAATCACTATGAATAAAACCCATTTTGCTGGTACATTAAAGGTAGTTGATTTGTGATTGTTAATCAAACCCTAATTTTATTGGCTTTTTATAGACTAGGCTGAGGAAATGTAGCTTCTTTGAATGGAAAGATGAAGAATAGGCAGACGGGTACTACAAAAATCTGTTACACTCTCTGAAGCAGCAACTGGATGCCAAAGATGAACTATCTGAGATGAACAAATTGAGGAGAAGGATTGCTGAAGTGGAGTTTCTGCTGTCACAGGAGCAGTATAAGGTGGCAAAGAGTGAGAAAGAAGTCCATGATGCAAGGAAGGCAATACGCAGGTACATGATGATAGTTGCCATGTTGTTTGCTTTCTTGGCCCTATGTGTTTTGAAGTTAGGGGGGTCAATGTAGTTATTTTGGTTGGATAGTGTAAGCTTTTGTTTTTTAGGATCCCTTGTATTTAGGTTGGGTTGACCCATCAAGTACTTCAAACTCTTGTGGTCCGTATATATGGTACATCGAACCCCATACAAATAATGACACCATATCTTGAGGGTAAATACCACTGCCTCCAACTCTAAATCATGGGTGGGATACCTCGTCTCATGGGGCTTCAGCTGCCTCGATGCATATGCTATCATATGCCCTCTCTGCATAAGCACCGTACCTAATCCCGATATATACGCGTCACAGTACACCACACAATTCTCCATTCACTTCAGAAGGGCTAACACCGGGGCTTCGCACAACCTCTAGCGAAGAGTCTCGAACGAGGTCTGCTGCTCAGGACCCCAAAAAAAGCAATGCCCTTCCGGGTCAACCTGGTGAGAGGAACGAAAATCTTGGAGAAATCCCTGATAAACCTCCAGTAATAGCCGACCAACCCCAGGAAACTCCTGATCCCGATACGGGATCTCGGCACCCCCAGCTCATAACCGTCTCAATCTTGGCCAGATCGACCAATATCCCATTATGGTTAACGAGGTGCCCCAAGAACTGGACCTCTCGTAACCAGAAATCACACTTGGAGAATTTGGCTTATAGCCTCTCTGATCTGACTACCCCAAGAACCTCTCTTAGATGTTCCTCATGCTACTCTCTAGATTTCGAATACACCAGAATATCATCGATGAGCACAATCACCGAACGATCCAACATCGGCTTGCATACCCTGTTCATGAGATCCATGAATGTTGCGGTTGTGTTGGTGAGCCTAAAAGGCATCATCACGAACACATAATGCCCGTAACAAGTCATGAACACCATCTTCGTGATATCCTCATCCCGCACCCTCATCTGATGATATCCGGACCTCAATTCAATCTTAGAGAACCAAGATGCACCCTGCAACTGATCGAAAAGATCATCGATCTATTGGATTAGTGTCTAAGTCCATAACTATTTTGGTATGTACTTGACCCGATGGTGCATGGTCCTTTTGGGTTGCCTTCACCAAAGCAACTTGATAGGATGAATTATGGAGAGAAAGGATTAAATATGATTTATTAATATATTATGAGAATAATATATTAAAGGAGAAATCATATTGTTTAATTAATATTAGTCAAGAATTAATTGGTAATTAGTTTTGTGACTAAAAGAGATTAATTAAACTTAAAGGACTGGAATTGTAATTATAAGATAATTGCAATTTGGGCCATGGGTTGTCTTGTATTGAGGAGTAGACGAATTCTATGGGGAAACCCATGGGGAAATCGTCCAAGGCCTTAAGGAAAGGAGTCCATGGGTTGCTTAGGGCTTAAGCATCCAAATTAGGGTTTCCTTGGTAGATAACCCTAATAGCCTCACTATATATAAACCCCTTAAGGACCAAAAACGTGGCTAAGCTTTGTTCTAGGGTTTCACACGTTTTTTGGCAGCCTCCATACTCTCTCCTCTTCATCCTCTTGCTTATGGTGTTTGTGAACCATTAGAGGAGTGACATTTGTGACTCTAAGCTTTCTAAAGTCAATACAAGGAGATTTGGGATTATTATTGCTACATAACAATCAAGGTATGATCTTAAACCTATTCTCATGTTAATATGATTACTTGAATGCTAGAATTAGGGTTTATAGTCTTGGATAACTTGCATGTACAATTAAAAACCTAGATCCAAGCATTAGGGTTTATATGAGCACATAGGATGTTCTTATGACCAAAACCCATCAGTGGTATCAAAGCCTACATTGGTTTCTATTGTATTGATGCTTTGTATGATTAAAAAATTCGATTTTTGTGTTTCTGGGGGGATGGACTCTCCGAGTCCATAGATGAACTCGCCGAGTTCATGCTGACTCGACGAGTCCATACCTAACTCGGCGAGTCGGCTGGTCAGATGGAGGGAAAACTGGGATTTCTTGCTGTTTTTGCTTAAGGATAGTTTCCTTATCATATTAGATCAATATAAATCCGATTTTATGATATATTTGACTATATTCTTGATCTAATTAAAGATAATTATCAATTAATAAAATATTTGTTTCCTTATGTGATAATTGATTAATTATTTTGATTAAATTGGTAAATTGTTTTACAAGAAATCATTAAATAAATAAAATATGGATAATTATGTAATTAAATGTTAATTTAGATTATTTATTATTGAATCCTTGTTGTTATGAAAAGTTTCATATTTTCCCCTTTAGGTTTTATAGTTTAAAAGTTTAATTTTGATGTATATTTAAATTCTAACCCTAATGTTTTGAAATGTTTCAAAACTTGCCCTCAAGTTTTGGAATTTAAAAGTTGATTAAAAGGTTTAATTAGGAATGTTAAATTCTAAAACCCTAGTAATGTTTTGAAAAGTTCAAATCACACCCTTGTGGTTTTATTAATTAATTAAGGTGTATAATTAAAAGAGGTTTAATAAATCCATAAAAGTTTAGGTTTACAATTTAATTGAATTAAAAGTATAATTGTTAAATTTGACCACCTAGTATTTTAAAAGTGTAAAATACACCCTATACTGTATATAACATTAAAAGTCTAACATTATATATATGTATGAGTAAAAGTCCGTCTTACCGTTAGTAGGCCTCATTCACGAAGCTGGTCTATAAGGGGTGTTTAAGGAAATTGCCTATAAAATGGCGATTGAATGGGTATCCACTCTTACCCACCGCACTCTTGACTAGTGGAGGGTCGTTAGCCGAATGGGTAGGATAGGACAAAACCTTCCATTTTAAGTATAATGAAGTACATAAGTAACTAAATGTTTTACAAATTCTCAATCTTAGTTACTTAGGCAAAAGTGAATTGATGCAATTCCATGAAATTACACTTTGTGCCCTTGCGAAGATGTTAGTGGAGCGTGTGTGGTTTACCGGCACACTAAATGGTTCTAAGCAAAGGTAGCAAGGGGTGACTCAATGTTTGTCATAGTTCGGTGGAGCGTGTGTGGTTTACCGGCACATCAAATAGGTGATTGTAACATGTGAGGGAACCATGTAAGTTTGCATGGTCATTCACACCTGCTTTGTGATCCTCGGCATCCCAGTCACAAACTAGAGGGCCATATCGAGATTTAAACATGCCATTGAAATGTTCAATGAATCTCAAAGGATCTAGGAGTTTTCATAGATTTAAAACTTAAATTTCTTTTTCGTTTTTCATGGTGGAAATTAGTGAATCGTCATTCACTTACCTTCAAATATTCTGCAACTAGATTACGACATCCCTTTTCTAGGTTGTAGCGTATTGTGTTGGGTCCTATCCTTAGTATCTCATTTGGGTGATTTACTAAGGACTCAATCAATCAACTAACTTGAATTTATGTTTTTCTCCCGTTTTGTAGATGTCAAAGTTCGACAACTATGGTCTTCCCAAATCCCGTGTAACAAGCTTTCCACATGAAGATGATATTCCACGATTCGATCGAGGAAGAAGAAATCATGCTTCACTTCGTCCTCCTCCTCCCATTGTTCTCCCCAACCCACAAGATCGTAGAATTGAAAGGTTCAATGTCACTAAAGCCCTATTGGAAATGAAACATGAAGATGGTAAACCCGTGTGTGCCCACATTCTAGGAATGAAATCACACATTGATAGGTTGAGAATGTTAGGTGTGTCATTCCCGGATAAGTTGGCTGTGAACTGGGTTCTGCAGTCACTTCCCGAATCATATAATAAGTTCAAAAGAAAGTATTATATGATGGATCATGATGAAAGCCTCATTAACCTAACTTACATGCTCATTGCTGCTGAATCAGAAATGATTTGGCAAAGCAATGGAGCGTATTTGTTGGGAAAATCAACCAACCATGCTTCCGAGGACGTTTTAGGAGAACCGACCTGCGTTTGCTACCAAGAGAAAGGGCGTTGGATACAAGTCTGCCCTATTTACCTAAGAGATCTAAGAGATGGGAGAGTCAAAACGTATGGCTCTACTTTAGGTAAAATCCACTGTCTAACTCCATTAAGTTCCTATTCATTGATACATAATGTGATAAGATTGCATTTGAATGTTTTGCAGGATCAATGAAAAGAGAGGAAGCTTGATGGAAAAGCAAGATGAGTCTAATCACAAAGAAATGGATCTCGATCGCATGGACTTGAAAATTAGGTTTTGAGATTAGATAGAGTTGTTAGGAATATTTAATACATAGTTTTCAGTTGATTTTACATTGTAAGGACAAATGTTTTCCGCTGCTTTTATGAATAAAATAAATTTTGGTTTGACTCATTTATTTATTTATTTCCTTGCAATGAAATCGTTATGAAAATTGATGTTCGTATATTTACAACAAATGGATGTGATTCTTAATTATGTTATTTGTGGAAATGTCGAGAATTTAACAAATAGGAAGAGTTCTCATCGCCCAAGTTTCAATCGGACAGAAATTTGGAATCACACAACTTGGTTGCATGATGAATGAGAAATTTTATATTTGGAAATTAGACAAATTCGTTGACAAAGTGTCAAGTGAAGGATTATAAGATCGAGTACACAAGGTTATGTGTTGATCAAGTCCACCACAAGAGTAACAAAGACATTCGTCATGATTTACTAAAGGTTTAGCAAATATGATTACACTTATAAGATTAAGTGTAATTCTGAATTGATTGAAAATGTTTAAATCAATAGCAGAACGAACAAGAAGAATCAAGTAGGCAGAAAGATAAAAGTTTCTCCATTCTGAGAAGAAGGGAGAGTACTTTTTATGCTTTATGATAGGTCTTAATGATTAAGAACCATATCTCAATTGATCCTCTAAGTAAGTCTTAGTACAATTGTATGTCTAAGAAGAGGAATCAAGAATTGAAGAAATAGTTAAATCAAGAAGTCAATCATACTTCATTCCAAAAACAGGTCTTAGAGTTAAGATTGTGACATTGAGTGACAAATCTTAAGAAGGTCTTAGAGTTAAGATTGTGATGTCTTGGAGAAGACAAAGACCAACTTGGAGCAA